CAATGAAAAATCCAGGTAAGAGCATCCACAAGAGTACCTAAAAAATACAACAACAAACTAGTTTCCCAACCTTTCCAAAACACATTGGGAGAGAAAAAATGCTGCAACTCCAACAGTTCAAAAAAAAAAGATTCCAAAACTTCGTCTTCTCCGTCCAGACTCGTTGCGTGCACCAAAAGCAGCAGCAGGTCCAGCCGTCGCCGCATCTCCAGGCTTCGGATCACGTCCTGCGTCCCATCGCAGACGAGGTGCAACGGGACCGCTGCAGCCGCGGCGATGAGCGGCGTCTCGTTCCGCCTCCCATCCACCGAGGCGTCTCTCCTGAGGGCGCACGTGAACGGCGTGACGGGGTCTTCACGGCAGATTTCCCGGACGGCGATGGCGGTGGGGACCAGTTTGAAGAAGCCGTGGCACCTTCTTCGTCCCGACGGCAGACTTCTCGGACGGTCCGCCTCCCGTCCCGATGGAGAACCATCCGATCCACTTCCACGGCTTCAACTTCTTCGTGCTGGCGGCGACGGAGGCGAGCGAGTCCGCCAGCGCGTCGTGGGTGTCGGCACAGCGTCAAGAGCTCGCGGCCCCGTCTTGGAGGATCCGTGCGATTGGGAAGTCGGAGCGTGCGTGGATTTATGCGCGTGTTGGGTCAGTATTTTGCCGAGAAGATGAGTTTTTTTAATCTTACAAAAAATTAAAGAATTGGGCGAGTGTTCGTGAACTCTTGGAGATACTCTAATGACAAATAAAGTTGCGTGGGAATGGTGGCTTAGCTGATATGTGATATTAGTAATCTGCATTGCCGGCGGCCATCCTAACGTGACACGGTACTGCAGAAGCTGTTTATTACACAGTACAATCTTGGATTCATGAATCTTCGCTATACTACATTTTGTTTTGCAAGAGGCACTCTTCCGATCGTACCGGCCGGTAACGAACGTGCTTTGGCGTTGCCAACACAATCATGGGGTGTTTGTTTCCTTAGTCGTTCCTAAAATTCATGTTACATCGAATGTTTAGATATTAATAAAGAGTATTAAATATAGATTAATTATAAAACTAATTACATAGATGAAAGCTAATTTGCGAGACGATTTTTTAAGCATAATTAATATGTCATTAGTACATGTTTACTGTAGCATCACGTTGTCAAATCATGGACTAATTAGGTTTAAAAGATTCGTCTCACAAATTAGTCGTAAGTTATGTAATTAGTTTCGTAATTAGTCTATATTTAATACTCCATGCATGTGTCTAAATATTCGATGTGACAGAAATTTTAGGAGAACCTGTAGAAACCAAACAGCCCCCTGGCTAGAGAGAAAATTTTCACTAGGTAGCTAGTAGATCCAGCAGATAAGTCTCAAAAGGTGAAATGTCATCGGGTCCACCAAAATCTGAATATCCGATGCTCGCTAGGTTTCACATCGGTAGTTAGGTTCAGATCCGGACCGGAAGCCAACATCTGTCGACGTGAACCTAATCTTAACTTTCTAGTGCGTACCGTACAGATTAGCTCACATCATGTAGGACATTCCAAAAATCCAATGCAAGCACGCTTTTATTAGCAGCTTTTTAGAATAAGCGCGTGTTTAGTTCACCTCAAATTCCAAAAAAAAATACTACAATACCTATCACATCGAATCTTGCGATACATGCATGGAGCATTAAATATAGACAAAAAAAAACTAATTGCATGGTTTGGTTGGAAATTACGAGACGAACGTTTTGAGTATAATTAGTCCATGATTGAACATTAATTACCAAATAAAAATGAAAGTGCTACAGTAACCCAAATTTCCAAATTCACCTAACTAAACACGCGCTAAGCAAAGAAAAGTCCGTACAGCATGTAACCAACAAAACGCCCCGTCGACCGAGTACAAAGGCCTTGTTTAGATTGCAAGTTTTTTCACTCTCTCTCCATCAACATCAAATCTTTGGACACATGCATGGAGTATTAAATATAGATAAAAAAAATAACTAATTACACAGTTTGATTGTAAATTACGAGACGAATCTTTTGAGCCTAGTTAGGCCATAATTGGACAATGATTGTCAAATACAAACGAAAGTGCTACAGTATCAAATACTGATTCTAGCTCCAATCTAAACCAGGCCAAAATTGACGGGGTTCAATTAAACGAGCTCATCAGAATTCACGGAAGCTCACGAACACATCAGTATTGGGCTATTGGCCTCAGGCGGGCCTTTTGTAGGTACTCCTATTTGACACTAACAATCTTGACTATATATATAGGTCAAACTCCAATGAAGTCAATTGCGGAGGCGGGGAATTGGAATTAGAGAGGAGGGAGTAGCCGACATCAGAACCAGACAAGCTTATCGCTATCGGAGCCAGGCGGGCTGGGGATGGTCATCGGAGCTCGATTTCTACGTCAGCAAGCCACGCTATATACCAGCGCTAGGAGCGAGAAGTCTGGCCGTGCACTCTCGGAACAGCTAGTTTTGGCCACATACACACTAGTTACGTACAGCTACAAGTAGACGCGTAGGTTTCACATCATTTGTTTTGGTCCACAAATTACTCCAGAGTCGAGCAAAAGCTTTGGTTGGCGTTTACCTTAGCCCAACTTTCGATCAAGTTTACATCGGATTAGCTGACATTATGCGCATTTCAAGCGCACTTTTTTAATTTAAGCAAAAAGCTAATACGTCGTTCGTGCACGTACGTACCAACAAAACACCCGTCAATTTTGATGACCGCCAGCGCCAGTCCGCCAGTACGATAGACAGACATGCATGAGAGAAATTTACTGGGACATCAACTCCTGCAGTAAATATAATTAAATCAAATTAATTAACTAAAAGGTGGGTTATTTACAGTGCCTCTTTGTATGTCCCGTGGTTGTTTGTCCTCGTGCATTAAATAATTAATTATAATTTCTCTGTTGTCTCAGTGTGCTGTACTATGTGCGCACTGAAACAAAGATTATTTTCTGTGAAGGAAAAGGACACAAATGCCTCCAACAATCTTGATTTTGCCGCCTTGCCGTACATGTCCCCAGATCGGAACAAAGCATACCAGATGAATCCTCCTCAAAGTATAATAAGCTAGACCTTGGTTCTACCTATCCTACATGCCTACACCCTACAGAGATGAACAGAACAAATATGATCTCCATCTCCCTGTCTTGTTGATATCCTAAATACTATTTACATGAAGAGAAGACAGAACAAGTGAGGAAATTAAAAAATATCAGGCCAAGAACACACGAAAAGGTTTACCGTGCAATCTCTCTTTCTGATTGACCAATTCAGACCTTCTTCGGATGCATGTGTATCTAATTTAATCCACGTAGGTTGAAGTGGATTGGAACGGAACTTAGTTTAATTCTACCCCAATCTACTCGAACACATGTAGATTGAGATGAATACATGCGTATCTAAACAAAGCCTCAAATAGATATATCATATACATCAAACGTGTATTGATTTCTGCTAAAGACATACGCTATGTTACATAAATTCTGACCAAGCAAGATTAAAAAAATTTAACCATAAAACTCAGCTAATTGCGTGCCGCTACATAGGATGGACCAAGAATCGAGTTACCGAAGCATGTTGTTGGCCTGGTCGGCCAGAGGGGAGGAATCGGAACGAAGGAGAGAGACCTTCAGCTTGGCTCCACGGCCAAGCGTGAAGCGTGAATCGGAACGGCCAAGCGTGAAGCGTGCCGGCCGGCGGCTGGCGGCGTCGGCCATCGACGATCAGTAGTAGCGGTAGACGACGTACGAGTTCCGGCGGGGCGGGCGCACGTGGCAGAGCATGAAGAGCACCAGGGCGATCATCATCGCCAGCAGGAACCCCTTGGGGTCCAGCAGAGCGCCGGCGGCGTCACCTCCACCGTCATCGTCGCCGCCGTTGCACCCCATGCAGCAGCACGATCCCGATCCCATGGCGGTGGGCTCGCGTGGGCCTAACCTGACACGCCTCTGATCCTCTGTGGATCACCTGGTCGATCTCCCTCTGGGTCTGTGGCTGTGAGTGAGAGGGGCCGGCCGGAGGAAGAGACAGAGTTGCTTCGAGTGTGGAGAAAGGAGGCAAATGGTTGCTTGGGACGCAAAAGTGGGAGGACGATACACAAATACAACCCAGTTGTTTACTACCATCCATGGGCGCAGGTCCAAGAAGAATAGGCCGGTGCAGAGACGGCAGGATCTATGGCGCGTGAGGACCCACATGTCAGTGACGAAAACAGAGAAAACCGTTTGGACTTTTCATCTTTCGCAAGGGTTGAACTGCACTGTTCTAAACTCTTAACTTTGATTTATTGGCGTAATGTCGTTTTCAAAGGGTTTTGGAATTCCACTTCAGGTCTAAAATGGGATGGATGGATGATTTTCACCTCAACCTTCTGCTGAGTCCGATGATCAACATTGTAACCTTTCAGTTTTCATATGAGCGATGGTTTAACGGCCTATTCAGTCGTTTACCACATTTTACAAAACTTTACTAGGCTTTTTATGGCAGCTGTTTTGTTCACGCATTCTTTAGCCAAATCTTGGCTACGAAGTTGGTAGGGTATGACAAGAGGTGTGGCGAACTGCGCTAGTCAACTAAAGAAGCTTGGTGCAAACGGGACAACCAAAGTCTGCACTTGTTCTACAATTTGTTGACTGCTCGTTTGTTCTGTAGTTGACTATCAGTTCTCTGGAACCATTCTGCGACCCCAAGCTTCAGTTCGTTGAAAGGAACTTGCAGTCGACAAATCAACTTGTTGGCCAGAGGACCAGACCTTAAAAGTTAAAACTAGTTTGCAGTTATACAACCGCGATTAAAAGTTAAAACTTGTTGGCCATGTATGTTCGTGATCGACAAATCGACTCACGTGACATTATATATTGCCCGGTGGGGTGGGGTGGCATCTTGTCTGGTTCACAACTCAAATAGTATGAGAATCAAAATACTGAGGACGATGGTACAATCTAACCTTGGTTGCTACTCAGCTGAGTCAGAATAACTGAACAGTATGCGAGGATGTGTTAACTGCTGATACCAAGGAATTCGGTGAAGCTTGGATACTTTGGTTCCCAACCGATCTCAGCCCGAGTTTTCGAATTCTCCATTCTCTTCCCCAATGGACCGTCAGTACCTGCAGTTAAAACACATTTCAGATTAGTTAAGCTATGCTAATGCCTGTGCACTCAAGAATATGAGGAAACCATAGCAGGTAGTACAAGACTAACCAGTAAAGCCTTCAAACTTCGTGTCAAATTTTCCACTTTTGTTAACAGCATCCATTATTTCTTGCCTGCAAAGTTGTTTTTTCCCTTTTCAATTGGGCAAACCAAAAGAGTAACACTGCACATCAAAACTGACTGTACAAAACAAAGAAACCGATCTGAACAAGGTCAGCAGTTTTACCTGGAAAGGGGCTTGTTGTCACAGCCCAAAAATATTCGACTCGGCAGTCTCTTTTTCATGATTGCTATTGCAAGGGAAGCAGCATCCTGGCAACAATATGACATGTATAACCACTGTAATATAACGTTGGTTAAGGAACAACCTATACTAACTCACACCCATCCATGTGATTGACATGGCAAAGACCTTAAGGATATGTAAAGATATCACATGTGATTGACATGGAAAAGACCTTAAGAATATGTAAAGATATCAACAGCTCTAGGGAACCAAAGCATTCACAGGCATGCTAGGATTGCATCGAACAATACTATGGTAAAACTAAATTAAGTGGATATATAGAAACTTCTAATTAGATAGCATTGCAGTATCTAAAGTAACAAACCAACAAAAATCACTTTTTCAACTTGCTTCATAGACTACAATAATATAAGCTTCAGGATTTATAGGCTACATATATAGTTTTGAAAACATATGCTTTTGTATTTCATAAATAAGTACAATATTAAAATTATCAACATTTGAGGGATAACAGGCATTCTGCTTAGCTTGTTTGAGCCAAATGCAAGGCTATGTAAAGAAATTGTAGGTACATCCATTTACAGATTTTGGGCATAACATAAATAAGCTCAAGTGCTCAACCATCAGATGGTAATATGAGTTGAGAAACTATAAACAAGGTGTGCAACACTGGAACTAAAATAAATCTGTAGCTCATCTTACCTCATAATGAATCTGGTTGATGATATGATCTGGTTGTGTGTCTAAAGTTCCTTTCCTCAACCAGAAAACATGAGCACCTCTGTCTATCTTGTGTGTCCAAGTCAAGGAAATGCTAACCAGTTTCACCGATAGTAATGTGTAAGAGTTTGTGTTCATAACAACTAAGCATTAGTTGAGGATATATAAAGTCCAGCTAGCCTGAGAACACAGCCTCCTGCCTCAAGAACAACATTTTCCACTTTTAGAAGTACATCAGTACGAGGGCTTCTGCCAATTGGCACTGACGGACAATCCTGCACAATGAAACATTGGTTAATACATCACAAAAAAGAAGGAAAGCAGGACAAGCAAAGTTTTTCAACTGACAACTAAAATATAGATAAGGATGCATAACATGGTTTTTGGTTACTTTTAAAATTTTCCCAACTTGTACCCACCCAAAAGAGCCAGAGAAAATAGTGGAGACAAATATGATCCCTGCAGAATACAAGTCTTAGTACCTCGTTGCACATGCTGTTGTCACTGCAGTCATACAGAGCTGTACTTGATGTGAACAGGAAAGATCCTTCACCACTCCAATTTGATGCTGCCAATCTGCACGTATTTTATGAAATGAGGATACATCACATGTCCACACTCCATAAGATATAATTTAATTAGTGGAAGAAAGATGAATGACGAATTCATAACAGACTCACATGCAACAGTGGCAAAATGCAGCCAAGTATGGATTATGAATGGTGATGGTGTGATGCACAGATGTGTTGACACTAAATAAAGCTAGCAATGCCCATCATTATATAGTATCCACGTGATTAACCAGCTAGAATGTTTGATTCTACAAATAGTGAAGAGCCCTTTTTCATTCATTGTTAGCATAAACAAATACTTACGGACAACACCAACCAAGTACCAGATAAAACACAGCACCTAGATTCCATGATAGCCATAGCCAAACACAATATGTTACCTTAGTTGCTAACAAGACGACATGTTACCTTCGTTGGTCCATGAACCCAAAAACACTTATCGCCAACTGGGAAGTTGTTTCAAGTATAATACACTTGGTAAATTCAGGGATGAGTTGCAACCGAAATATGAGAATGTAAGTCATCTTTCATACTTTCATCTGAGTATACTTATATTAGCCTAACTAAAGTAAAAGAGATCATCAGGTCCTGCCTCAAGAATTGAGAAATCAACCATGTTTTACACCCCCGTTCTCTGTCACTATGCATGATACTGATGGTGGCACATCTGCTATCAGCTCTAGCATAAACACTGCTGCATCTAGTCTTACACCACCATGCTAGTCACCAATAACAATTATTACTAAACATATGCTCATGTTTCTTTGTAACCTATGCCACTATTATGGCTGTCAACAAACATACAATGCATTCACTGCCATCAGACATCAGTTTAATCAGGTTGACCCCATTGATACTTAACTAAGATATAGTGCCCAGATCCCCATCAAGTTTGACTTGGATATGAAATCTCAACCTAAACAGACTAACACACCTCAAAACGGATTTTGGTATCGATGGTCCTTTTTTTTCTAGAAATGTTATGTACCGTAATGCACTAGAACAACACAGATTTGGAGAGCTTCATGATTTCCAAAAAAAAAGGAGTAAGCCAGATCATTTTTACCATTATCATTAGTAGTGAACAAAGTACGTGATAAAATATGGCACTGGAAAACTGAAATACATTGATGACATCATCATTATCATGGCACTCATTTACCTGACATCCCCAGGGTAATCATCTGAACCGGACGGGGGAGCGCAGAAAATAACATGTGGAACCTTCTGATGAATAGTGGTGCCTTTCAATGAGGGGATGATGCCAAGATCTGTTAACTCACTGTGATGATTTTTGCTTGCAGTCTGGCCATAAACTTTGCAATCTGGATGCTCCTATAGGATGGAAATACTTATAATATAAGGCCTTACAACATAGCTTTAAAATTTGATTTCTCCCAAGAATTTAGCCTCATATTTATCATCCCCTACCCCGGTTCAGAAAAGGAAATGTTTGGTTAAAAGGGGATCATTCCAAAAAGAATCAGGACTTTCCATAAAGAAATTGTTGGCATTTCTTAAAGAGCGCTTGAAAACCAATGATCAATAGTTTTCCATAACATCAACAGGAAAGATCTAAAACTGATTTGAACAGTAAAATCATCGGTTGAGTAAGCTGTTCTGGTGCACGATTCTCAATGCTAAGGCGACTGAGGAGCCGAGTAAATATATCAGAAATATTAATAATAGCTAGGAATACCTTTTGCCACTTCTCAGCTACGATTCGTCCAAGAACGCCAGGTCCCACAATCAGTAAATCATTCTGGCCAACAACATTGGGGTCAGAAATGTCGGACCCTTTATCATGAGATATCCCTGCGAGCCGCAAACACAGAAAAAAGAAAGAAGAGTTTAATAATAGCAATCATCTCTGTGAACTTCCTGATTTGGAAATAAAGAACATAACACAGGAACCTTTGCAAGTTACAACTTTGAGCACGTCGCAATCAATAAAAATTGCAACATACATACATGGCACGAAATTGATTATAGCTACTAGTACAACCTGGCGCCTATCGAAATCAGCACTACAGTCTTCTAACGGCATGAGTGACAAGCTAATCCTTCATTTCCATCGGAAACAGAGGGTGTGGGCATCCAACACACATGTAGCTTGAGAGGATTAGATACATCTTCCAAATTGTTGTGATGTCAAGCTCTATTAGCAGCAGTTCGTAACAGAGCCGAGAAATGATATAGCATTTAATCCAATTGGTCAATTCAAGGCGAAGGCATGACAAGCGTCGCAAATTTGAAAGAGAGAAGCTGCATATGAGAAGGGCAGGGGGCGGTGAGACGGTTACCGAGAGAGGCGCGGGCGAGAGGCGCGCGGTGGGCGAGCAAACGGAGGCGAGGTAGCCGGGAAGACGGCGCAGGTTTCAGGGAACAGGAGTCGGTAGTGGAGGCTCGGCGATGGGCCGGGTTCGTGGCGGGTGCCAGATGGAAGGAGGCCGCAGCGGCGGCTCTCATCTCGTCGGCCGGCGGGGTCGCGGCGGCGACAGTGTGACGGTGAGGAAAGAGTAGACGGGGAGGATAGTCGGATGGATGGTGTGGATCGAGTTCGAGTCCCAGGAATCGGGGTCTACCTTATCGATTCCGCCCGAAACGGGCGGTATATCCGGTTCCACCACCTATAAACCGGTAAAGAGAGCCATCATACCGTACCGGCCTCAATCCCAGTCTGCTCCGGTCGATCCTGTCCTAATTCGGTCTTGCCCCGTTCATCCCGGTACCGGCCAGTCGCCACCCAAAAGAACACCCTACGTCCCTCCGAAGACAGGAAATCATCGATTCTTATATCATACATAGACACAACAAATGGAGACAAAAGATACAGGATCGGAGAAGAAAAAAAAATCCCAAATATAAAAAACAGAACAATGCAAGGCACCATGGCGTCGGCGCCGGCGAACTCTCGCATGGATCGGCAGGGGCGAGCAACGTCTCCCTCGTTGGCGTGGACTAGCCGCACATCACGCCGCCTACGTGACTGACAGGCAAGAGGGCCGCCTTCGCCTTGGCTCCCACAGATATTCGTCGTGATGAAATGGTGAGGAGTTGTTTTGGTGCGGCGGCTAGTGGCAAGGCTTAGCATTAATGTTCCTATAAGCGAATGGGGACATGGAACAAAAACTAGAATTAGAGTGTTATTTTATAACGTGGGAACATAAATATTTCCGAATCGAGAACATAGACGTTCCCGAAACGAGAAATTTGACTATGTTCCATGTTTCCGGATGCTATGACAAGGCAGGACCATATGTGCCTTTGCTTCCATAGACCATGGACCATGGGTTTGCTGTTGAGTAGTTCAATTGGCCTAGCAGTCTATGGGCCTCTGATGGTGCTACACGTAGGCCATGAACAACGTTTACAATTGCAAATGAAGTAGTCCAATAGTGCACAACACAGAGTTTGTAAGTATTTATTTTTTCGCGGACATACTTCGGGGCATAAGTTTTTCATCAAGAGATAATATATGAGTATTTAGTGATTCGCAAATACATAACGGAAACAAAATAATGTTATAATAATTTATGTTTGAACGTGTGTTAACTATTATCAAAAAATAATTATTTGAGCATAATGTTGTCAACATTTGGTTTTAGCCACTCATCAATATTACATGAGTTTTCATAAAGCATGCATTTATAATATAATAGATCATATATATGGGTTGCAACGAAAAAAACTGATAATTCAAATCTAAATGTGTGTTGTACTATTAAAAAAATAATACTTAGTGCGGATGTTTGCGATGTTCTGTTTGTACAGTTTTGGTGCCGCATGCTAAAGTGTCAGCACAACATGGTACCTAGGACCCAAAATTAAGATGCCAATCATATTACTAAAAATAACACCGGCCACCATGGCCCTTGCGTTCCTCATGCCCGTTTATCTAGAGTCCAACTATCCAATAACACCATCGACAACAGCAAATGCATGTGGAGAAGTGCATACATACACTACCAAAAAAAAAAAGATTTCGGCTGGCGCTCATCACAACCATTCCTTCCGGTACGCAATCGGAGCAAATGCACACGGAGTGGAGTGGAATTATGGTGGGCTGATATGATGACGAGGCCTTTCCGGTTTTGCAATCATTTTTTAATTACACAGTATAACATAGACATTTATAATAGGTATACATACTTACATCTACAAATACATGTACGTAAACCCTAACTTTATGAACACCTCCGAAGGATTGAGCCGGCAAATCTTGAGATTCACGAAGTCACCGTAGGCGCCTCACTATCGACGGAGACGTCGTCTACCCATAGCGCCGTTAAATCTTATAATAAATCTAGAAAATGTGAGCACTTGTACCAAGTCGAATACTTAAAACTCGGGTGCCGGATTACACCACAATGAACCCAACCAACTAATTTGTGACCGGTTCGCATTTTGCAATCATTTTTTTTAGTAGCCGCGCATATGTACGTAGGGTGGTAATGACGAGTTTTTTTTTAGTTTTGTGGGGCGCGACAAGGATTGTCGGGTGGACGATGCCGCGGGATAGTATTAGTTCTGTTGGTGAACGATTCCTTTGAAACATTTTTAGGTGCAGGGATTATACACAAACCAGAACCCGAATGACCTTCATACTGGAATTGACAATTTGCAGCGGGGCAGGTTGGCTCCGATCCACACGCTACACTTACTTTAATCTCCAATTCGTACACCCACATCGAAAAGATTAGACGGGAGTATTTTGGGCCCTTCGTCAGACATGATGAAAAAGAAAAGAGAGAAAAATAAAAATAAGAGAAAAGAGTGAAAATCGTATAATCTAAAGAGTTCATAGACACAGGATCACGATCATATTTTGAAAGACGTGTGAATTGGGCGCGAATTGAATGTCAAATATCAAACTTTCTCACTTTGCTAGGTGTCCTATCTTTTTTATTTTGTTTGAGAATTACACACCCATTTTGGAACTCCTAGGATTGAGATAAATGCCTTGCCCTACCGGGTATCGAACCAAACATGCAGAGGCGAAATCATAATATTTTATTAAAAAATGAGTGAAAATCAATATTTTTGTGCTATAAATTCAAATATTTATGTAGGTATTAAATAACATCTACTGTGCTTTGGGGTGGGGGGGGGGGGGGCCCTGCCTGCCCACTGGTTCCGCATATTAAATAACATCTAGCGTAGGGAGATTATGTCTGATTTTGAACTCTTAAGAGTTGACATCAATGCCAAACTGACTCCAATAGGCTCTATTTGGATTCCTTGACTAACAACTAGTTAGCTAAATTTTAGTCTAGAGAATCCAAACAGGACTTATGAGTATACTAAAGTTTAACCAAAGCTCAACTAGTTGTTAGTTGTTAGTTCACTAGCTTATAGAACATAATTATTATGGGCTAACAACTAATTCTTGTCTATAGTGATGGATAAGATCTTGTGGTGGTCATCTTAGAGTAGTGGCTGACAGCATCTTAGCTAGGACAACATATTAGCATCTTGACATATGCTTGACTAGCTAGCAGCCTATAAATATGTAACCCCAACCCTTCAGGTTGGTATGGCATTTGTGTGAGTTTGTGTGAGAAATAGACAAAAAAATTGCCCTAACTCCTAGTGTTATCCTCTCTCGATGAGAGTAAGAATTCTCCTACTACCAAAAGTGAGAATTCAGCGACTAACATATAGAACCCAACAATTAGTTTAGGTTCAAACATATGCACTAACAGCGTTGTGTTGATTTTGCCTGCACACGTCATGAGTTCACAGCTTTTCCCTATGTATTGAACCAAACAGCCCCTCGGCGCTTTGACTACTGAAATTGTAACAACCCCTTCCACCCCAGAAAAAATTGTACTCCCTCCATCCTAAATTGTAAGTCATTCCAAGTTTTTCAAGTTTGACCAAATTTATATAACAAAATAATAATATTTATCATACTAAGTAAGTATCATTAGATTCTTCATTAGTTATATTTTCATATTATATCTATTTGATGTCATCAATCTTTGTGTTTCTCTCTATAATTTTAGTCAAACTTGAAAAAGTTTGACTCTGCAAGATTCTTGGAATGACTTACAATTTGGGATGGAGAGAGTAGGAAATTGGAATTCTAAAGGCCCCTTGTTAGAAAATCGAAATTTCCTCTAGGAGACAATTTTTTCATCAAAACTTGTTACTCTCATCCAAAAAGACCATTAGGAATTTTGTTACAATTCTAGAGACATCGAGACAGACTGTTGAACATTTGTAACATCTGAATTCTGAGATTAGTGTTGAACAGTTGTAAAGAATGGTTCGATGGGTTGAAGCCATGGAAACAATTAACAAGTATTGGAGTCAATGAGATGGTACAATGCTTTCATGAGTTAACAAAAGAGAATAGAAGGCAACTTACGTACATGCCACACCATGATGCAATGCTTTACATGATTTAACAGAAGAAAACAAAAGATAGCCAAAAACTGCAGTATGAGCAACCAACATTTCACTTCAAATCCGTCATCATTTCTTTTATGTATCGGTATATTCATCTTTAATCACAAGTAGTTAGCGACATCACATGAAAGTTAGAGATTGCTGAGACCAAGGAACTCTGTAAAGCTCGGATACTTGGGTTGCCATCCGAGCTCTGCCTGAGTTTTGGAGTTCTCCATCCTCTTCCCTAGCGGACCATCAGTCCCTGCAGCATGAAGCTATATATGTTAATTAAGAGCGCAAATGATTTAATGGGAATTCATGAAAGCAGCCAGAATGCTAGTATATGACTGACTAACCAGTGAAGCCCTGAAACTGTGTGTCAAATTTCCCGCTTCTGTTGACACGGTCCATAATATCTAGCCTGCAGCATCAAAGTTGTCAGCACACAAGTATTTGCGGCAAAATCATTGTTGGTGGGAAGAAAGGAAACTGAAGAAGATGAACTTTGACAGTGACCTGGACAGAGGCTCATTGTCACAGCCCACAAAGATGCGGCTCCGTAATCTCTTTTTCATGATGGCAATTGCTAGAGAGGCTGCATCCTGTAAATAACATAAGGCAGAAAATTGTAAATGCAAAACACATAAACATACATCCTGACATATTAATCAGATAGATGTAATCAAGAAAGGATAGATGTAATCAAGAAAGGGATCTAGTCATATCAGTGCAATGGTTGAAATTTTTTTAAAGAAAACTTAGTATCTACAGTATGGATACATGTTTTGTTAAATGGGGGGATAACACAAATTAACACTTCAGAGTACATGTTGCATCCAAGGCTATGCTCTAAATTGGTAACTACGGATTCAGATTTGCCCCAAACATCTAGCGTACAATCCACTAGTCCATGTTATGATACAACCATAAATAAGTACCAGCGCTTACTTCATAATGTATCAGATTGAGTACATGATCAGGACGCACATCCAAGGTTCCTTTTGACAACCAGTAAACATGAGGACCTCGATCTGATTTGTAATGGAAGTCAAGGAATATTGCATCAGTTCTGCCCAATTTATTCAGTAGGAATCAGGCAATGTTTATATCTAAGAAGTAAGAACACTAAGGTTGGAAGCCAAAAAAATCATGTCAGTGAGGATATGTAAAGTCCTACTAGCCTAAGAACACAGCCCCCTGCCTCAAGGACAACATTTTCAGCTTTTAGAAGCACATCAGTACGAGGGCTCTGACCAATCGGTACACAAGGAGAATCCTACACAAGCAGAAAAGAATATAAAGGTTAAATGAAATCAAGAAAGACAGCTGGTGCTGGAAGTCTGGAAAATTGTTGCAAAGCCCAAGCAAATAGATGAACATTGAAAAGTGGAACAACCACAAAACAGCATGTTACCAGCCTGAAAACCAATCTTTTTTTCTTGTTTAATGTTCAGTTTTTTTCTATATGAATCCCCAAACGTTTCTGTTTGCAATATTAGCAGAAAATAATAGTGCAATACCGCATATACTACCAACAAAAATGGAGTGGATTTTGCACCCACAAAGTTCAGGAGCAAACAAAAGACTATAACTCTGCACTTGTATGCTGCATAATACAAAGCTCATAGGACTAATACCTCACTGCAGAATCCATTGTCACTGCAGTCATACACGGCAGTACTCGAGGTGAATAGGAAAGAGCCTTCTCCATTCCAATTCGTAGCTGCTACTCTGCACATGTCATCTGGTATAAGGATATCTTACATGTCCTTGGGACCTGACACTAGTAGGTTTAAAGTGTAAGACAGAGCAAGGTATATTTGACTGCAAGGACACAAGAACCATTCATCAATGTTTTTCCACACTTCTTATACATCAATTGCCTGAAACGACACTCCTTCCAGTCATTGGCATCCTGTAAGTTTCCACCATGATGTTGAGTTCAGGAGAGAGGGTAATCAGGGTATGGTGTGCTGCCTGGGCTTAGAGGGATGCCATAGCAGGAGGTCGGCAACCAGCAGTGGCAGGTGGTGAGTCCGCAGCATCGACGAGTGGGTGGGGAAGCCCCGACCACAGGCAGCAGAGGACTGGTCGATTGGAAAGAGCCAGGTGGCTATGGGGTCATGTGGTGTCAGAAAGCAGGCATGGATCCGTGGCAGAGATACTGCCCGTGGCACGAGGGGGCTGGCATATCATCTCATTCATGCAACATTGACATTTCATCCAAAGCCTTGCAAAGTTCTATGTGTTTTTATTATCTAACTCATCTCAAAGTCTTGTCGGATTATAAAAGATTACCAACTCGTACTAAATTAGTAAATTCAATTAAAGTTTAAACAAAATTCAATAAGAGAATAAATGCCCAAAGCCCTAGAAATCCAAGGTATAAAACATTAATGCACTATTTTCTAGATGCATGTTACCCAGAAGCCAATCATGCATTAGAACATCTCCAAGAGTTTTCAAAACCCACTCCCAATCTTGATTTTTGGCAAGATTGAAAAAAATGCTCTCGAACAACTCTATCATCTCCCAATCTTTCCGCACTTGGGAAAATCAATCCAATCGCGCAGAAATATACACGCACGGAAAATCGATTGGCCAATCTGGAAGTGGAAGGATGTGAGGAAGAATAAGGAGTAAGGACAAAGTTACCAATGCAAATGTACAAGAGAGAAAAAAGTATAAAATTGGTTGGGATGATTTGGAAATAGTCCGAGATTCCTGATGCAAAATTGTCTTTTATATTTTAGGAGAGAGATTTTGGAAATGGTCGGAGAAACCCAACAAATGTGCTCCTAACTTTTTTATCCACTTGGAAAACTGATTGATTTACCATTTTTATTTTTGGAACTATTGGAGATGCTCTTACAACTTTCAACTATGGATTACGGAGATCTCTAATCTAAGAGCAGGGGATGGAGATGGAGCTGAGGAAAGGAAAGAACTTGCAACAAGTTTCAATTTTTTTTTTCTGGCATACAACATGAATAAAGGAGGCAATTATGATTGAAAGCTTACAATTATTTACCTCAGATCTCCAGCATAATCCTCTGAACGATATGGTGGAGCACAGAAAATAACATATGGAAATTTTGGACCCGGTACAGACCCCTTCAAGGAGGGAATGATACCAATGTCAGTCAATTCACTGTGATGATCTGTGGTTGCAGTCTGGCCATAAACCTTGCAACCTGGATATTCCTATAAGGCAAGCTCTTAATTAGACCAAGCTTTACAGTATTTGACCCGTTAAGAAATTTAAATTTACAATCGGAACTATAATGATAATGTAAAGAAGATATCACAAGGACACGACACTCCACCAAAAGATGATTAGGTTAAGATTTGCCAGAATCACAGTGCTGATGGTACTTTGCAGTACCACTAAAGAAATGTTAGCAGAGATGGAAATTAAATGATTGATTTTTATTTTTATAGGCAGTGACTTGTAGTTAACTGAATGAAAACAAAATTAATTGCAGCAACTATCTCCTACCCTTTAGTTCAAAATATCCGATTATTAACAAGTATTATTTCTATATGCATGTAGTTCAGAATTGCACTATTCTTACAACACTTCAGTTTTATTTAGTGTCTGGGCGGTAAAAAAAAAGTATTATCAGGCGACATTCCTTCGTTTCGAACTCAACGTGGCCTTGCTTAGAACAGGACAAATTGAATAATAATTAATAAAAGCAATATATGTGTCCAATCCCCGTTGGTAAGTTGTTGACGAGTTGCGCTCAACAGAGGGGCGACGTTGATAATCTACATCAGATTCAATGAGTAGCAACCTGTTTCCACATCTCGGCGACGATCCGGCCGAGCACGCCCGGCCCAACGATGAGCAGATCGTTGTTGCCGATGCTCCTGGGCGAGAGCGAGCTAACCGCTGCATCATCACCCGATACTCCTGCGATCATGCAACGGGGAAATAATAATTACACGAGAACAGAACAGGAGTCGGTCAATCAGGCGAATTCCGGAAGAGGCGCCAGTGGGCGGCGGCATTGGGTAGACGGAGGGTTTACCGATGGAGGAGGAATCGGCGGCGGTGGACATCGCGGCGTGGCGGCGCGGGCGGGAGACGCGGACGCTCGGGCTTGGAGTGGGGCGGGGGGCAAAGAGGGCGGAGGCGGCGGCGACAGGTGCGGCAGCTTGGAGATAGGGAAGAGACGTTGACTCGTGGAAGTGGTGGTGGGAGTGGAGTTGGGCAATAGGACGCGGTAACAGTCGTGCGGCTCCGCCCATGCCGATGGCGTGGCGGCGTCTCGTGGACGGTGGAGAAATGGAAAAGCCCAGGCCAGGGGGCGTTTTGTTTTGTACACGCCGTTCCTGTCCTACTGGGGAGCACGTCTCTGCGTTGGGGGGTGTTTTGGTTCCCACAGCCAATTCTGAGGGCACCTCTGTTCTGTTAGCATACGGTGCATCGTATAAGAATCTAGAGTAACTGGCCAACGTGCCCATACGTTGTAATGGAAGAAAAAACTATCAAACATAACGAAAAATAACAACAAAAATAGCAAGTGTCTATTTATGTTTTTACATATTCTATAAAATTAAAATCTATAATTTGTGCTATTTATGACGACTATGACTTTCATAATATGAGTTAATGTTGGCAATGACATGATAATATTCTATTAACCATATATTGACTTAAAATAAAACCATTTTATTTGTTTTCTCTTGTTGCAAAGAACAAAAATATTGAGGTAAATATATCAAACTTTACTTTTCATACTCTCTGTGCGCCGGTACAACTAAATATTGAGTTTCCAGACTAACTATTGAGGACCAAAAGAACATGTAACGGTCAGGCTAGTGCCTGGACATCCGGCCCTAGGCCCGCGTTCATACGTAGCCCTAGGCCCACTCGGATTCCGCGCTGCTCGAACGACTCGCCCCACCCACGCCCCCGCCCCCCCTCCCACGTGAGCCCATGCCACCTGAACATCACCAGCATCGAGAAGAGGAGGAGACACCTAGACGAGGCAGCAGAAAGGCGAGGAGGGAAATGCAACACCCGATCTACTTTTAAAACATCTGAATAAACATTTGCAACATAAGTTCGAAATAGTTGAAACACTTGCAACATATGTCTGAAACACTTGTAAAAACACCTGAAAACGCTTGAAAAAACCATTGCAAAATATATGCAACATTCAGATAAAATACATATAACATATGTGTGAAAGAGATGCAATATCCAGATAAACACACTTGCAAACATACGTCTGAAAACAGATGAAATATTTAGAACAGACGCTTAAAATATACGTGTATAGTTATTACAACATATGCAACATCTCGATCTAGTTTTGCAACATCCATATGAAACACTTGCAACATACCTCTGAAATATTTGAAACACTTGAAACATACAATTGCAATATGTGATTTCAAGCACAACATCTACTTGCTGCTTGGACGAATGGAGGCTCATTGACGCGGAGCTCAACGCTAGCTCGGAGCTCGATGCCACGGAGTCACGCAGGGGGATGCTAGTGGGCGGGCGGCTGGGTGCGGCCCTGAAGAGCGGCTGCGCCGCTCGGCGACAAGACGAGTGGGCGCGGTCCCCGTGGTATGCTAGGAGAAGGGGAGGTGGTGGGCATGCAACCTCGGGAGGCTGCTGCTAATGCTGCTTCTCCTCCATCGGCGGCGGAGAAGGAGGAGGGATGGTGAGAGTGGAAGACGGCGATGGTGCGGAGCCGAGGCAGAGGAGGGAGAGGAGCAGGAGCGGGGAGGAGAGCGAGGTCGGGGAGAGCACGAGGAGCAGCTCCGGAATAGGAAATCGGCATCCTGTTTTTTTAGATGGAGAAGCCATGAGAGGAGCATCGGAAGAGCATGCATATTGGGCGGAAGAGGCACGGATGTCGCGGACGGGAGTGGGGATCCGCGTCCGTCCATCGAGACGCCCTGAGGAGAGCATTATTGAATCTGCAATTCTAGTATCTGATTAAAATAGACAAAAAGTTAGTTGCTGACGTTTCAAGAATTAGTATCTATCCAGAAAATTATAATGGGAGATCTCTATCGATTTAACACATGCCAACCCTTCCTAGATGGAATTATAAAGATACATATTTAGATGGGATTAGACAATAAAGTGCTCAAGCTTTTGGTTTATGGTTTGATTAGTTGAAACTTCGGTGATCCATAAAAGAATAATCTTGGTTTTTCAAGAAGAAACTACCGGTGTGTAGAGGAGAAAAAATACAAAACAGAAATGCACCGATAGAAAAAAGGAAAAAAAGAAAAACAGAAGTGGACGGACAGAACGAAAAAACAAAGAAAAAACGGAAAGCAGAAACTCAAGCCACGAAAAAAGGGAGAAAAATAGAAAATAGACTCTGGAATTCCATACGGGAAAGGGAGAAAAATAGAAGCTAGGATTCCGTACAGGAGATGGGAGGTGACCGAAATAAAGGAATTAGAGAAACAGAAACACTTTTCTTAATTCTTTATTCCTTTTTTTTCTTATTTTTTTCTCTCCTTTTTCTCCTCAAACGTCTCTTTTCCTTTATTTGTCGATGGAGAAGAGATATTTGTCTTATGGATGGATACGGAGCCGACGACAGCCAACCGAAAAACAAAACGAAACATGACACAAAACGGCATAAGGAGCCAGAAAAAAATTGATAACCAAAAAAATTAAGGCAGGAATTTTGTCTTTTTAATATTATATTATATATATTATAGGTGTATAGAAGACGTGTCCGTGTCTTACTGCAAAACTCAATAATTTTATAATTGGACTCCATATCAGTTTAGACGCGAGCTATTTTAACTCATATGAGCATAGGTTATATGTTTAAGTCCGGACGAAAGAAACTCTCTATTGTCCGATAGTTAGAGGGTGAGAACCAAAAAATGGATGGACAAAAAAAAGGCTAAAATTTTGCTTTTTTATTATTAGGTATAGATTAGCTGGATAGTTATTCTTGTTATAGCAAATTCTCTCATTCATGAACATATTTTATGGTTAGCCGTTGAGTAAGAATATGTATGTCGTATGTTGCTAGTAGCATTAAAACTCAAAGAATTTGTAGTTGACTTTGGCTTTCGAACACGATGTGCAGAATTATGATGTGTTTAATGAAGATCATTAACAACATAAATATTAGCTGATGCAACATATCTACTATCATTATGACTAGCAACACCAATATGAGAGTTCATAACACTTGCAAAATAGTAATTAGAATCATGTGATGTATTTGTAAGCTGTATCTTGGAGTAATTGTAGTAGTATAGATGTCCAACACCTTGATACTTCATGATTTAGATCCTGACTGTCACAACCCAAAGTCATTTCAAATGAGACCTTCCTCAAGAACCTCCTTGATAACCTTACACAGTCCCTCTTAACCCACAAATCACCTCATCATTCTCTAAAAGGTTCCTAGCACTCTCTACTAGGGCAAGGACTTCAAATTCACCAATTAACCTTATTGGTTCTCCCCAATCAACCCAAGTCAACTAGGAGTCAACCCTAGTCAACCGGTAGTTGACTTTGAAAACAGACTCGAGGAATATGGCCAGGTGACCCTCCCAATCTCTTTGAAGGTGATTATCAACACCTAGAGCAAACCAATGTCCTTAATGCCCAACCACTCCTAAATCAAATTCTCCAAATTCAGTGTTCTAGCGGAACATTCTGCTGTCTCGGCGGATAGTCCGCCAGACCAATTATCTAGCATAATCAATTTTGATGAGATGTCCATCTCTCTCCCCCTAGGTCCCACATGTCAGCATGAAATGAAAAGGATAGCCAGCAGAATCTGCCCAACTCCACTCACTCTCACACCCACCCATCCACTCCCCACTCTCTCCCTCCCTCTTTACACATGAAGAACAAGGATGAACTAGAGAGACAAAGGAGGAGGAGAAGAGAAGGAACAGAAAGAAAAGAAGAAGAAGAAGATTAAGGAAGAGCTTAGCTCCACCATCTCATGGTGAGGATGGACACCTCCATCTCCTTCTCCACCCATGGTGAGCTCAAGATCACTCTCTCCTCATTTCTTGAAATCATTTCCCCCAACTCTAACTCTTGGTTTCTCTATGCATGGGTGCAAGGTGAAGTTTGGTAGTTATCTATCATCTCAAGTGTAAGCCCAAGATCATCTCTAGGTCAATCATCTCATGAGTCTCTTGGATTCTCTCTTATGCATTTCTATGGATTTTTGCAAGAAAATCATGAAGAAGCCTAAATTCATGTCTTTTGCTTGGAAGCAAGGATGAGCAAGAGCCGATGTCTTATCTTGGTGGCCTAGAGGTCACCCCATCTCAAAGATAAGCTGCCATGCCCAAGTTCTTGAATTTATCTCTCACATCTCATGATTTATTGCCAAATCACTAGATGCACTTGCCAACTAGAGCTTAAAACCTAACAATCACTAGTCCAGTATGTTACCTAAACACCCCTAGAGACCCCCTGCACATACATGGTAAGCATCATCCACAAACTAGAGTTTATCACTTATGAACACACTGAACAATCACTACTAGAAATATCCATTTCAACGATGAATAGATTTCATCACTGAAGGAGCCAAATTCATCATAATTTCAGTTTTATGACGAATTTATGATGAAAAACGGTTCGTCATAGAAGTCACATCACACTTGCACATCTATGACGAATCTGACAAAATCATCATAGAAGTGTCTTGATATGTGATGAAAAATAGACCGTCATAGAACTATTTTGGCATACATGGCAGGGGGCTGCCACACTGGTGGGCGCTTCCATTGGAGATGCTTTCCACGTGTACATGCTATAGCCTACATGTACATGCTATAGCCGGTTGCATTGGAGATGGTTCGGTTATGTGTCACCTTCTTATTGCACAATGTGGCCATCTCTAGTTCTTACACGTATCAGGTTCTTACTGGACCACATGTCGGGTCCATGTTGTTCCACATGCCAGTTTTCTATTAGCACACGTGTCATGTTGTGGGTTGGATCACGTGTCACTTCTTCATTGGACCATGTGTCTTATTTTTATTAGTCCACGTGGCCGTTTCTTATTCGACCACGTGTCACAGCGCTGTTCGTC